CAGACAGGGTCGTCCCAATATGCGTTTTTGCAATTTGCATATAGGCAAAAACGCATAAAAAGAAACAATATTCTGCTTCCATAGGCGGATCCAGGGAAGGGAGGTGGGGAAGAGGGGAGGGGTAGGAACGATTGCTACAAGAGTTTAGGTGTAGACTTGTGTAGCAATCGTCCCCACTCCCTGGATCCGCTTTCCCAGCGGCACAGGCACCACTGCTACAAGAGTCTAAGTGTAAAGCTAAGACTGAAGAAAACACTCTTCCGCACCCCCGTCGTCTCCACCCCGTCCCTCCCCTCCTGTCCCGGGATACCGTCCTGGACCTACTTTCATAACCAGTTTTAGCAGTAGCAATGTGTCGCGTGACCCTTTTATTGAAATCACCGGTGTGGGTTAAAAAGAGAAATACCACAGCCGTCGAAGTTGAATGAAATTTCTACGAAAATAAACGAAATGCTGTTGAAAGGCAACAAAGTAAGCGGAAATGCTTAACTGCACTGGACAGCAAAAAATTGGACCCGGCGACACTTAAGTTAGCCAGCAACTAACAGGAAGGCAGTCGGTCGAGGAAATAAGCAGGCTGTCCCAATTTGATTGGGACATATTTTAAAGTCAGAATTTGCGCTTGCTAGGGGCCAAACATCATCTTTATAATGCTCACTGAAGTAACCCGGGAAGTGTTATGAGAGCCCTGCAATCGGATGTCTGTTGCTGATGAAGATTTAAGATCCAACAGGTTGCAAGCAGCTGCTTCGGCTGCTCATAACGAAGTGCGCAGATTTTGCAGTTAAAATGAGAATTTTATTAGAGGCTTAGGATTTCTAATAATTCAGAAGTGCTGGCGAATTATTCGTTTGCCCGTACTGCAAGCAACAAATAAAAAAAGAAAGCAGCTTTAGGCGATGATGGAATTCTTCCGATGGATTGTTGGTTTAACGCCGTCACGATGCAGGTTTAACAAGAATTTTCTGAGAAATGAAGATTTCACAAAGCAAATGATGAGTGTACTTGTAATCAATGAAATTGAGAAAGAAGTCGTCCAGATGGAAATGAGCAAAGTTGGTTTCCAGGTATTTTCAAAAATTACATTAAAAATTCAAAAATAATTTTAATTTTTGATTTTCATTTATTAGCTTGGGTTAAAGGAAAAATTCAGATGGCAGAGCTGGCGGCATCCATGACGGCCGAACATGTTCCTGATTATTCTTGGCTGGCAACCGAAAATACAACAAGACGACGGAAGAACCTATCCTTAGAGGTTATTTCTATTACTTTTGACCTCACCATTACGCACAGCACCAGTTGACAGCTGCATTAATTTTGCACAGGAAAAAACTAGACTGCGGACAAGAAGCTATTATGTTCTGAAAATGCTGCAACAGCAGCAGTCTACACTGCTTCAGACAGCGTTGGCTTTTATACTATGAATCGTCATATTTTCCACTGAGTTCATTCTCGCATTAATGTAGCTGGCA